CTTGAAACTCTTAGGATTCCCATCAGCCGGTTAATTTCTGCAGTCAATATCTTTCATTCACTGGCTTTTTCTCATACTCCAGTATTCTGACCCATACAGCAGTATTGGTGTGACAGTTGTCCCATATACATTGATTTTTGTTTTTATTGAAAATATCTTTAGCGTTTCAGATCTTGCAGCATTTTCTATATGCAGCAGTGGCTAGTCCAATTCTTCTTTTTTATTTATCTTCCCTATTCCCATTCTTTGATAGTAGTCCTCCAAGGAAAACACATTTTTCTGCTTGTTCTGGTTCTTTATATGCAACTTTGATCTTTATCTCTTCCTTTTCTCTTCAAATTGCCATATTTTTGTCTTCTCTGTGATAATCTTCCATCTGAATTTTCTCCTTTCCCAGTCTACCTTGTCAGTTATTTTCTGCAAAACCTCCTTGGTCAATGCTATGAGGTCAATATTGTCTGCAAATCTAATGTATTCACTGTCCTAGTCTAAGAGTTGAGTTCAATAGGTTAACCAAAGAGATAAAACATAAAGAAAAGAGACAGAAACAACTGGATAAATGAAGAATGTAAAAAAGCTGAAGAATATGTGAAGAGTAATGTGACATGGGATTGTATTGCAAGATAAAAGAATGAAGTGTAAACAAGCAAAGAATAAGCAATGGGGCGAATATTGTGAAGAGCTGTACAATGTGCAGAACACAGGAGATGAAATGGTCCTGAAAAAGCTTCCGAGTACAAATCAAGGAGAGCAGATGCCAGAACTCTTAAAAGAAAAAATAGAGATCTCAATAGAAAGTTTGAAAAAGGGAAAGGCACTGGGGAGAGACAACATAACTGCAGAGCTGCTGCATGAAGGCAAGGGACACTTGGTAAAGGCGATGTACAAGCTATTCAATAACATTTACAAACAAAAGCAAGTACTGAATAAAAAAAAACAATCTATGAAAGAGGAGATGAGAGAGAGTGGAATCAGCTTATTGAGTGTGTCAGGAAAAGCATTCATGAAGATGGAGGAGAATGAAGAGGTCTGTGGAAGTGGCACTTGCAGAGGAACAGGCTGGATTTAGACAGGACACAGTACAATAAATCAGGTATTTGTGATAAGACAGATATCAGAGAAGTATATTCAACACAACCAAACCTGCTACAATAATTTTATAGGCTTCAAACAGGCTTTTGATAGCATCGGACAGAAAGAGTTATGGGAAATTTTGAGAATGTGTGACATCCCCAAGAAACTGATCAAGCTGATACAAAACATCTATAGCAAGTCAATGAATGTGGTAAGAAGTTGATGGGATGGTTCTGGATGCTCCCAGGGGTGAGACAAGGATACATGCTATTGCCAGATTTGTTCAACTTGGTACTGCAAGCAGTAATGGCTGTACATGAAGAGGTGAAATGGAAGGGGTCATGTTACGTTCTGGCAATAATAATGCCGAATCAACTTGTGCTTGCAGATTAAAGCCGCGTTTTTTCATGAATACCTTTACACGCCTCTTTGAAATTTGCTTTCTGAAGACATTTGTGCCAATAAAACTCAATAGCTTGATTATTCACATAATGTAAATGCAGATGGGGAGTGAGCATTGTTGAAGTAAATTCATCTAAAAAATGTGAACACATACTTGTGAGAAATATTGTTCAATATTCACATGACTCTTCCCCATCTGTTCCACAGTCCATGGAACACAGTGTCTACTTCCATCTGTGGATGGGCAAAAGTTCAGATAAAAAATGAAGAGAATGAACCTTTTCTGGTTCAAAAAATATGGTGAATTTGTTTTGTTTGTTTTAATGTTATATTTATTTTGGTTTTGGTTATTTTTGTGTATATGTTTAGTTTCAGTTGGGTCTGGAAGCAGACATACTCCATGAAATGCTGTTTTTGTAATATTTCTGTCCAAGCTCAAGCCATGAGGTTGATTGAAACTTGAGAGAAAGTGTTTGCCTGATACTTCAAGTAATATTTCCACCCAAGTTTACTCTGCAGCTCTTCATTTCCGGAAAGGCAGATCAGTGGTTGTTCTTGGAGATGGGTTGTTAAAAATTTCTTTCTAACTTGTGGCTTGACTAATTAATTAGTCTGCAAGACCAAACAAAGCAGTTATTTCTTCAACAACATACACAGGACTAAAAAAAAAAGAGAGACAGAGAGATCACCGTTTGTCAAACCATTTGCTTAAGACTTCAGCAACAGGCAGTGCAGTAAAAATCACCAAATTTCCCCAAAACACCATTGTTACTCTGTGTTTGTATGTTTTGGAGTGGACAGAGAAACTATGTAAATCTTGAGTAGCTTGTTTGACTTGTGTGCAATTACTCTTGATTTACTTTAGTACTTCTAAAACAACAAAGAGTCCCGTGGCACCTTAAAGACGAACAGATTTATTTGGGCATCAGCTTTCAGTACTACTGAGATCAAAAGTTGGCCCACTGTCTCACTACACTATTTCTTTCCAACAATACCAATTAACAATATTGACATCTTATTGATTTCTCCATTAGCTATATAGAGAAATACAACTGTAGCTCTTCTGAAAGGTTTCAGTTTGCAAACACAGACAGTATTCATCATCTGACAGCGCATTTCTAACCACACGTGACAGATGTTTGTCACTTCTCTTAATGCACCACTGGAAGCAGCTCAGATATTACAGTGATGAGGGTGGTTTAAGAACTTCTAAACAATAACATAAAATATATTTGTATCAGACATATTCATTAGATACCTACAGAACTTGTTTTGTACATATCTCTAGCAAAGTTAATGCACCTTTTTTTATTTTAGCAACCAAATCCAAGGACCAAACTTGCTGTCTGAAACTTGCAGCTGACCTCTCAAGGGCATATATTTGTAAATGTGTGTGTTTTAGTAAATCATCAGTCTCCGAGTCATCGGCATCCACAAAGTCTGATTTTTCTTACTCTAGGGGGAATAAAACACTGTAAATGTATTTTGTTCCATATTCTCAGCAGGACAAAAATTCCAATCTCCAGCCCCAGTCAGCTTCCACTGAACAAGAAGGAATAGAAAATACAGATATAGGGGAGGCAGAGGAAGAAGGGTGGGCTTGTTCTCTTGTAAAAATTTGTCACTGAAGGACTGATCCTAAATCACCAAGGCATGAAACAAAGTCTGGGATGAAAGTAGCAGTTAAGAAACGTACAAGGTTAATAGATAAATAAAGACACCCTCCCAAATCTCTTCCTGACAACACGACAGTTGTGTATTTCATTTTTCGATGCATTCTATTCCAAGACATTTCTGTAGTTTCCCAGAAATTAGAGATAAGGCCAAGCTATACAGGTCAGATCTGAATGCAAACTTCTATGAAATCTGGGGATATTTGTACTTCCTTCAGCCCATCAGAGAGAGAGGTCAGCTGCAAGTTTCAGATTCTGAACCAATTTCTAAACCAAAGTTTGAGGGTGCTTGAATCTGGAGTTTTAGTTCATGCCCATTTCTACTAGAAATCCAGCATCAGTATTGAAAATAAAACATGTGGCATTGACATACACGTAGTGACAGTGAAGTGAGGTGGAGGTATGTAGCACCACCATTATGCTGAGGCCTATAGGCAGAGCTGTACTAGAAGTAGGTGACGCCATAGTTCTGTATATACTCCACAATCCAGCAAAGCAAGAATTACACCCCACAGAAAAGGCTGGAAAATGGGTCAAAATCTCTGATATGAGGCCACAGCAGAAAAGTCACTCATCTTGATCAGGCAGTACTAATGCCAAGGCTAATATTTCCTCATTGATATGAATAAAAACTTCTTATTTTGTACTCTCAGAATCAGTCAGCTCTCTCCAAAAGAGGCACCCATAAGTTGTTTAGGGCCATTTTACCCATCATGATGATTCTTGACACATAATTTGTGTTCCCCACACAGTGCACATAAGTTGAGTGGAAATGTGGGAACTCTGGACACTATGACTATGGAGCCTTACTTTCTTCAGAAAGATATATATATATATATATATATATATATGTATATATGTAGTGATACACCTGCTGCTGAATGGTAGCATTGCTGGACTTGCACTATTAGAGAAAAGGGTAGGAAGAGAAGAATTCCTCTGGATTTGCATCACTCATTATTTTACCACAGTTCCATGTTAGAGGCACTGAGCATGAGCACTGTTACAAAAATGACTATTCCATCCACGTGTTACACATGATCACTCAAAAGCTTAACCAGGATAGGAAAACTCCAGTTTTCTTAGATGAGATTTTCCAGAAGAAGGCTATGTATTCCAGAAATCATCCTAACACGTAGTCTATAAACCAAAAAGTAGCAGAAATGGCTGACCTTTATTTACAGCCATACTCTAACTTACAGTAAATTGGCTTCCAAAGGTTTTTTCAGCATACTGATCCCATGATGCTTCATACCAAGCATCCTTTTCTAGCATTTGCTATGGTTTGATTACAAAGAAAGACCTGCTCTAAGAAACACAAGAAGAGGGAAAGCATATATGTTACCACCGATATATAGATCAGATGACAAACAATTACATATCTTTCTCCTGTTGGGTTAATACTGAGCCTAAAAAAAGGGGTTTCTTATTTCTTTCAGAGCTTATCAGTCTATCATTGCTACCCCACATTACAAAGCAGAAGCACCAGTATTTACATACACTTCAGATAATGGCTATGGTGCAAATGGTATACTTCCCCCTCATGCACGTACACTGAGAACATTTGAAATCATCTGCAATGTCTGGTTAGTGCTTGGATCACCTCAAAGCCTATTTCAGAGTCACCTTCTTTGTTGAAAACCATAATGGTCATATAACAAAAGAGATTTTGGGTTTATTCATTTGAACTTTGATTGTGACATTTCTTTGCACATGAAAGGCAGGTTCTGATCATGTTAATGGTGATGTGTAAAGGCTGAACCTACTTCAACCACTTGACAAAGTCTTGTGACTCCTTCACCCAAGCCCATCACATGCTTAGAGAGTACTAAAAATTGAATATGTCATTACCTTGCAATTCCCTTGTTGCGTCACTGGCTATTGTTCTCCATTTAACCTAATAGCCCATAAAAGAGCACCTCTATCTGACTCTGATTTTCCTTCTGATTGCCACCAAGAAAGTCTGTTCTGTAAAAGCAGTGTCAGGCCAACTCATCCAACTGAAAAATAAATGGGAGATAATGAGAGACAACTCATAATCCAGCCAGGATCAGTCTTATATCATATTATCTGCTTTCCTGATGGACAAATGGATGGTAGGAACAGATAAAAGTAATGGCTTTATGTTAGCTGTACTGTCAGATTCTTATTTAAGAGAGAGACATTTTCTCCTGACTTCCTCAAAATCACAAAAGGAGGAGTATAGTCAATTTTTTATAGATGAAGTTGATGCACTGATACTTAGAACAGACTTCTGTTTCCCTCTCTAGTCATTCTCCCATAAAGACAGGAGCCCGTGTATCAGTTTCATGATAGTTTATTTCTAAAGAAATGTAACTGAGTGTTAAATGAGTTTTACTGCGTCTTAACTGGGTTGTTTGTAGCTGGCTGGTCCCAGGATCTTAGAGGGACAAGGTAGGTGAAATAATATATTTTATTGCACCACTGTCTGTTTTTGAAAGAGACAAGCTCCATATAAGCTCAAAAGCTTGTCTCTTCCATCAACAGAAGTTGGTCCAATAAAAGATATTACCTCTCCTCATCTCTTAATGGGGTCACACTCTGGGCTTGATCCTCACTTAAAAATGGATCACATCAGTGTAAGAGAGTGGAGAGTCAGGCCCTCTGGGTGAAATCCTGGCTCCGTTGAAGTCAATGAGAGTTTTGTCCCTGATTACAAAGGGGTCAGGATTTCACCCTCTGAATGTAAGATAACATAAGTGACATGTTGAGGGTGCTGGAAGAAAGTATAAGTTCCACTAGCTCCATGCAATCACCTCTGCATTTAACTCCTAAAATCACTATGTCACCAACAGTGTGCGTCCCCATGCAATATTACTTGGGAATCTGGTGCTTTCCAGTTGCATAGAGCTGTGGACTGTTTGGAAAAACTGATACTTCTCCCACCAATGATATACTACAGTAATTACAGCACTGATTTGGGGGCCATGGCCTCCTCTTAACTATAGGAGTCCCTAGATTAATTGGATCAAACAATGATGCCCACATAGTTTGTGCAGTAAACAGTGGCAACTATAATTGATCAAGGGTGTGGTGATACTTGAATGCTTTGAGCTGTGTGTAACTTGCTTGTCACTAACTTACTCTGAATATTAAAACAGTGGGGAACATCCTACTTCCACTCCATGCAGATACACATAAATAGAAGAATGTTCTCATCAACAAAAGCAAATCAACTCAAAACCTCATCCTTCTCCATTTCTCAGTCAGGAAACAACCAACTTTCATTTTCTTGTCACCACCCTCCATTTGTCTTCTTTCCCCATGTTTGTATGCTGTACTTTGTGAATAATTTTGATCCTTAATATTATTCCAGTCTATGCCGATATAGTTTAGATAAACTCCCAAGCAGGTGAGTTTATCCTATTATAGGTTTCAGAGGAACAGCCGTGTTAGTCTGTATTCGCAAAAAGAAAAGGAAAAGGAGTACTTGTGGCACCTTAGAGACTAACCAATTTATTTGAGCATGAGCTTTCGTGAGCTGAGCTGTAGCTCACGAAAGCTCATGCTCAAATAAATTGGTTAGTCTCTAAGGTGCCACAAGTACTCCTTTTCCTTTTCTTTTTATCCTATTATAGTGTCACCTTTTGGTGGTATCTCCAAACATGCGCAAGTTCTGTTTTCGTACATCTGTACTTAAAAACCTGAAGTGGGTGTCTTCCAACCTGAGATCTTTCCTTTGGAGTTTTGCTGAATTAATTTCAAGTGCAGTCATTATAGTGTAGAAGGAGAGCACATCTCTCTAATCAATATCAAGATTGAACTGTTTTACTCAGCAGTCTGTCTTTGCATTTGGGCAGAAAAATGTGGACATACACCTCCTACACAATACCTACGCATGCCATGCTGGGGTGCTGACAGATGGACATTCTGTATTTACCAACTCCCCCCATGGTTTCTTTGCTGTTGGATGTGACATTCTTCAGATGTCTGTTTTATGAATGTCAAAGACCACATGGCTATTATGCAACGAGTGGAATTGTTAAAACCAAGTCTTGGCCTCACTCCCTACTTTAGTCTTTTTTTTCCCCAAGTCCTATTATCAAAACCAGAGTAGATCCTCCCAAAAATGAACATTCACTGACAAGGTGGCATCTTTTAATTTCAACAATACATAAGGCAAGCAGTTTACTTTTTGTTCTGTTCCATATTTAATATAATCACCTGATCTAGTTTCTAGCATTACTGCCACAAACATCTAACTGAACAGTATACGGTTTTCCTTGATTTATCAAAATAATGAGTTAGTTTTATTGTAAGTGATTAAATGTGTTTTACTTTTTAAAGCACAAGAACTCAAAAGAAAAGCATTGTTACAATCTGAAAATAACTAGAAAGATAAGTTCATTAACTTCCCTACACTTGTGCATCATAAAAACCTTGTTAAAAATTACTCCCTAGCCTGTTGTATTAGCTTCTTTATGAGGTAATTTCTCCATACAGTAATAAGATTTTTCTTTTACTCTCCAGTGCATATTAAACCCACTAATCTTCTTTTATAAACTACAGTTTCAGCCACTTTCTCAATTTACTCACTTTAAAGATATCCTCCTATTAATATTAAAGGTAGCAAATGCAGATATGAACTTCGCAAAACATTCTTTCAGATTTATGGTACAATCTTTTAACAGTGTATTGCAATAGCACAAAGGGGACAAAGCAGTAAATGTCAAGTATGTCTCATGACAAACCAAACAATGTTAGTCCCCACAGAATTATTTTCCCATCCTGTTCATTATGCGAATGAACTGTGGGCATATTTTCTCCTCTTAGCACATAAATACAGATTCCAAACATTTAGTTCATTGAGAGAGATAAAATAAGATCTCCTACAGAATCTGCACAGACGTGAATAGGATACAGACTAAGGGTCTGTTTCATCACTGCTTCACTTCAATTTTACAACAGTGGAACTCCACTGCTCCCAGTAACATTGGAATAGTGCAGGGGTGGAAAAGGTCCTAAGGGCCTGATTCTGTTTCCATTTAAGTCTATGACAAAACTTCCATCGACTTTAATGGGAGCAGAATCATCAAATATATGCTAGGGAGAAAAGTACCTGGCCGATGTCTCTACCTCTGTAGCTATAAATTACCCTTTGCTTTGTTTCAGTTGTAAAATAAGACAGTCACAAAAAAGCATGTAATAATAATAATGAATTAACATTATGAGGAGATTATTTATTATTATTATTATTTATACTGTGGTAGTACCTAAGGCCCCCCCATCATGGACCAGTATCCCATTCTGTTAGGTGCTGTACAACACTGAACAAAAGGACAGTCCCTCCTCTGAAAAGCTTAAGAATCAAAGATTAGGCCCTTAAGAGAAGCCAGTTTACAAACAATGCCATTTTCAAAAAAGTGGTAATTGAAACTATTCTTTTCTGAAAAAGTCCCAAGTTCCAGAGATATCAGTACTTTGTGATATCTTTTATCTTGTGATATTTTTTATCATTTACATACAATATCGGGCCTGGGTCACATTGGACATGCCAGAGAGTCTGTGATTTTCATAGGTATGACACATCAGCACAGGCCTTCACAACATGTGAGGACAATCAACAATGCAACCTTGTGCAATTTAACTTAGTAAAATATTTGATTATGGGAAGAAGCTTTCAAACCAGGCAAGGAATGCATTCTTCCTTAATTCTTCCTGTATAATCAAAGCTCATTAGAATGCAGAGAAACATGGACAGTCTCTCCACTCTTAAAGGGCATGCTGAGTGCTCGCTCTGCAGCTAGGGCTTGGTCCTACAAGGTGCTGCTGAGCACATGGCACACATTGAAGTCAGCAGAAGTTGTGGGTGTTCAGCACTTTGCAGGGGTTGAGGTCCTAGCCAGCTCTGCTGCTTGATATGAAGGAGGCAGAGCCATAGCCCAATCTCTTCCCGTGTTCTCAGGGGTAGCACTGCTAGCCTGCACTATATTTTAACTCAGATAAGACCAGGTACTACAGTTGTGACCAGCCTTGGTGTGGGGGGCTCATAGTGGAGCAGGATCTCTGTGTCCTGCCCACTTCATGCACTTATATGCAACCTGTAGGAAGTTAGAAACAGATTATATTTGGCCCTACCTGGGTATACAAGTGGAGGGGAGTGCAGAAAGAGAGGTATTCATGGCAAGGGCAGTATTTTGTTACGCGCACTTGTAAATATAAATACAACACTATAATTTAATGCTGTTCCTGCAAATTTGAGATCATAACATCATAGAGATGCAGGCCTTTAATGCGTACAGAATAAATGCTTTTAATTTTTAGTCAGTAATCACACATAGCTAGAACCTCTGTGCTCACTGTTAAGTGTCAAAATTATAGAGACCACCAAAGCATTAGACTACAATAGAATGAGGTTACAGTTAGACTATTTCTAGGTTAATAAACTGACTTCCAGCGGGTGAGTGTCTGTATACACGACATTTCTAGTACTTTGAGCGGAAAGACTAGATCTCTGAACCTTACAATCCCCAGAAGTTCTACTGCTGTGAATGAATTCTTCCTAGAGTTACATGAAGCAGAAAGTAAATGGATTACTCTGCAACGTATGTCCTGGAAATTTTTCTAGGGCAGTACTCACATACATGGCGTCGTCACAACAAAGCTACTAAGAAAACAGAAGGGTATTTTGTATTTTGTAGACACAGTTTTGTGTACTTAGAGCTACTGGGGACATTTCTGTATTATGCTTTATTTCTAACCCTTGGTTTTTATACATACCTCAGTCATTTGTTTGTGAAATCAGTGTTGAGTTGTTACATTGAAACATATGTAACAGACTACAAGAAGACTCTTGCAATTTGATACCTTATGGCTGAAATATTGGAAAAAAAAATGTGGCCTGTTGAAAAGCATTGCTTAAGGGTATCCAGGAGGGCTGGAGGCAGCTAGCTTGTTATATGAACATGCAAGTGCTTGCAGAAAAATTCAATGGATATGTTTGCTGTTTGATATTTTTGTGGGTAATTATTGCCTAGCT